GGAACAACTGATTTTAGACGGCCTTCGCGAAATTCGTCTTGGAGTGAACTACGACCACGATTGAATTCACCATACCATCGATAAACACTGGTCCTTGATGGAACTTCATCGCCAAAAAGTGAATTAAGTTCATCCATGCACTGTTGCTGAGTTAATCCACGTCGAAAGTTGCAAGAACTAATCGCACGAAAATGTTCACGATTCAATTCCATTTTTGGGCCAAGATGAATCTTTTAAGTTATTGTAAACAACACAAATAGCGCTCGTATGTCTAAATGTTCTGAGTACATATAACCTCAAAACATCCATCTTTACGATAGAGCTGTCAGTTGCCAGATTGCAACAGCAGGGTTGCAAAATCCCGAAACATAAAAGGCAACCTTCGTAATAAAAAACATGAATTAATCAAAGTTTATAGTAAATTTTCTGATTATCCGCCGCTGTTCAAGTGCTTATTAATATCAAACGTTTATTAACAGACGCAAATGAATAGGCAGAGGATCAACAATGAACTCCGACGTTTTTTTCCAATATCCAATATCGTTGAATATGGGGTGACCAATCGTCGTCCTTTTGCAGATTCTGTCCTTTCTAGACAAGTATCCTCTAGACAAGTACGTTGTGTTGTCTCTACCAGAGGCGTTGCTGGATACATAATGCACCTAACTAGACATATTATCGATCACACATTTTAGGAAGTGCATGCAGTCTCAGTATTGTGTTACCTCGTTTCTAGTTCTTAATTTTGCATCAATTGACTTTGGGCTCATGTTCCTTGGAAAATTTCTGTTGCAACTCAGAGTGTAGTAAATTTACGGAGCTCTTGAATATTCAATTCAGTATTTTCACGTTTTGGACAATTCTCTTTAAATTAATTAAATTATACGTTTAGTTCTTGTGAAAACGTTTGATTAAAAATTGATGCAGTGATGATTCCTTCTGTAATAACAGTCACAATTCATTATCTTCTCAATCCATAACAGGAGAATTTGCAATGCAGTACGAAGGAGAATTTGTTTCCTGGACAAGTCATTGCCATTGAAAGTGATTCGGCACAGGTAAATATCGTACAGAAATTCAAAGATTTTGGAAATGGCTGAAGAATAGGAATTACACGTTTTACAAATATGATGACACAATGCAGAAAATTCAAAACCCCGAGTTAAAATCAAAAAGAGGACTCTTCGCTATTCGAGAGCAAAAAAGCATTTTGGGGAAAATGATACAGTTTCTGTTTTCACTGCCAGTGACAAAATGTTTACTTAATAATTTAAAAAATATTCATTAAATAAATATTTAAACTTCGTACTATTTGATTCACTTTCTACTAAGCAATCATGAAGAAGGGGTGAAACTGTCACGCATCGTACAGCGTAGAACGACGAGCACTAAATATAGTGGCATAAAGTCCCCTCATCATATGAGGCATCTTTATGCCAAGTTCAGGTAACATTTTTTGTTTAATGACATTTATTTCAGAAATTATTACCACATAATACAAATAAACTATGTTTTCAAACTTCGTATACTGTTATAACTTTATTACGAGAAAAATAAACAAGTTATTTACTAAAATCTTCCAAAAGTGCCACAAAGCTACCTCGGGTTGCAGTAATACAAAGGCAATAGTGAGCATTTGATGAAGTCTGAATAAGTACTAGCATTTATTATTTTAACTATCGCAAAATCGTGTCTTTTACCCGACAACCACCGCTAGCGGGCGTCTGATGATCTAGGGCAATCCAACAAACCAACTTTTCTTTTTTAATTTGTTACGTCTTCATAGACCCAACGCGTCTCCAAGCCTTTTGTGTGTGTGTGTGTGTGGGGGGGGGGTGAGCGCTTTGCGTTTGGAGAAATCCTCTATTAATTTAGTGTACTTATTAGGAATAATCCTCCATTATTAGGATGGCATGTCACGTCTCGTCGTGGTCAGCTGTCAAAAGGACCGACAGGTAGTATCTGCGCGTACGCGCCTCGTACTACGCGCCCCTACGTCACTACCCAGCGGCCTGAATTGGGTAGGAATGAGGATTGGGCTAAGGTTTAGTACGTTTCACAATGGTTAGACCAGCTCCTGCGAGGCAGGCAAATGCGCTTTGTCATAACAAATTTCACATGAGGTTCTATGCGGATTTTACGGGAATCGAACCCGGGACCTCAGTGGTGAGGGGCAGGCGATTTTGCCTGCCACGAGAGCACTTATCTCTACGATTTCGATGTGGCTGCTCTAAAAAGATGTTATGTGATTGTAACGGAAAGACATTCCACGCGACACGATGAAAAAAAAATTGCATCCGTTTACTTGGACTTAATGTACGTATAAAAATGAGATATGGGGGCACAGACAATGAATTTACGGCTGATCGATAGCGCAATTAAAAAGTAACTTCTACGTAATCGTTACAGCCCTTTGCAGACCCTTCCCCATCCTTCACTGTTGCGAGGGCTATGGCTTCCGGCCTCGGGGCTGTCTTTGGGCGGCGGCTCAATCAGCAACTAAGCCCCTTGTGACGTCGTGGGTTGCAGATGGCTTTGGTATATATACAGTTTATTTTCATATATACATGTGAGCCTTACCATTTACTGCTGGAGCATTCTCTCCCCATTTGCATCTGCAACCTACCAAACACTCTGTTCGACCTGAGCCTTGAGCTCATACCCGCAAGCTTGCAGCCTCCCTCGAACACTCCTTTTTACGATAGCCTTACGACAAAGGTTTGTGGATGGTCCCCTTTTGCAGGAACCACCCGCCTTTACAGACTCGCTGTTACCAAGTCGCCACCCCACGGTCGCAACTCTGAGGTCTCGCGACACAACTGGCGCCAGCACGCCACCCTACCCTCTGGATCTGCACCCTTGGGCTTGGCCAGCGTTTCGTAGACATACAAGGTAGCATTCCTCACGTGTCCACGCTGCCCGATGAGTTCTGTGTTGCCGCGGGCGGAGTAGCGGACGCTACTTTGGTCTCTCATTGTTTGCCCAGCGACCGCAGGCTGAGGCGCGCAGGCGACAGAGTGCAGCCAGTGCGCGATCTATTACTGCATTGTACAGCGAGCCCAGCGCGGCCCCCTTGCCGCACGCACGGGTGGTGCTTCCGCGGTCTCCTTCATCTGATTCCTGTTCGCGGCGAATCGCCTTATCGCGCCGGCCTACGAGCAGTAGCGTGCGCCCGAGTATCGCCTCAAGCAGGCGCGGATCCACGGGGAGAGAAATTTCCCCCTCTAAAATATTTCAGTAACCATTAATTTTAACTTGTCACGAAACTTTCTAGTAAACATATTTTCGAGTAATCATGAAAACGAATAACATAATTTCTCAGCATGAGCCGTGTAGCCTGCGACATTTTGCAAAATCCGTGATATGACACATTCGACCAAAACATTTTGAAATTCGCATTCCAAAAAATTTGTCTCTGGATCCGTCCCTGCCTCAAGTCTAAAGACTGGGCGAGGTTTGCTCTAGTCAGATTCAGAAGCAGCTTTCGTAAGCTCGGCGAAATGCTTGCAGGGCCGTGTGAGGGGTAAACCTGATTCATCATGATAGAACGCGGGTTACAATTAGGGTCGGTAATCCAACAATCAGGATTCGTCTTGCTAAAATTTGCGTTTTGGTCGATTTTACGTTTGGTTGGTCTCCGGGTGGGAAGGTGTCTCTGCAACGCCGCATGCTAGTCCCATATGTAGGCTGCAGCCTGTTCTTCACTCCAGTGGCGGAGGCTCATGCATTCCATCGAACCATAACATGCCCTCCAGGCGTCAAACTACGACTCCTAACAATTTTGTGCTGTGCGGTTTCTTGTTACAATAAAATAATTTCTTTTGATCCTTCATCACAACGGCTTCGACCACATTTCTTCCCATATTTGGCAATTTTCATTAGGATTGGATCTTTCAATATGCATGATCATACATTTCGTCGTATTCAAAGGTACCTTAGTAATCTTAATTTTCGACCACTTTCGATCACGACGTAAGTCTTTTTGAAGGTTAAGAATAAATGTTGGTTTCATTTCCATACATCTCGAAATGGGAGTACACACTCCCACTGAGGTCAGAGTACAAAATAAGCCGGTCCCAATTCTGAGCCCTATGGAACTCCTCTGAAGATTCTCTTGAGTGATGGTTTGTATTCTATTTTTTTCACAGAATCGGCAATCCTCAAAGAAAAACTAACACAGAATAATCTCACATATGCCAAAATGAGCAATTTTGTGAAGCAGCCTGCTACGTGATATCTTATTGAAAACTTTAATAGAAGTCTACATATATATGTTAGGTTGCCATTACCTAGATCCATTGTTCAATCTTGCATTGGAGGTAATAGATATGCCAATGTCAATCTCCCTGGTGTAAAGCCTGTTGGTGAGGGTGTGTATCCAGTTCTCACAGCAAAGTTGAGTACCTCGCCCAACAGAATACACTCAATGTCCTTGCATATTGAGCTGAACATGTTATGAGCCATAGTTACTGGGTACCTTATCTAAAAATGGGTATAATGTTGGCTGTTTTTCAGTCTGATGGCAATGTTTTGGTATCAAGGGAATCCAGAAGATTTAATATGGAACTGGAGCTGGTCTTCTGCATGTTAGTGCAAAGGGCGAAATACCATCTAAGCCAGAAGAGAAGTTCTTATCTAGTGAAACAAGGATGATGCAGATGTCCACAATTTGTAGATCAGTATCTTCAGAAGGTGAGGATATACATGGGACAGGGTTGTTTGATTGCAATGTGTAGTTCTGAAAGATGTCAGCAACATCTGTCAGATCCATAACAATTTGCCCACCTGCCTTCTACAGCATATGTGGGACAGTGTCTTTATAAGAAATTGAATTGAATTGATTTGATGCCTTATTTTACGTGGCGAGAAATCTGTCTGAAATTATTGTATGACACTTGCCTATGGCCTCAGCAATATTTTCTTCATTTAATAGCAAATACAGTTCATTAAAACTAGATATATTTTGTTATATTTCATTAAAAATGAGAATAAGTAAAATTACAGAACAATCAATTAGTAAAACATTTATTTCACTTCAGTTACAAAAATACTGTACAACAGGTTGATTTTTGTGCTCTTTGCATAAAACAAAGTACTCGTACTATATATGAAATAATGAGTCAATATGAATTATACTTTGTCTCCAGCAGAAACCTGTCAAAATATGTAACAGATTTTCCAAATAAAACAAATTGATTTCTCAACAGAAAAAACAAAACTATCTCTGTTCTCACACATACCAATACCAACTAGCACCGTTTCTACATACGATATCTGCAGTAACAATAAATTAGTTTAATAAGACTCAGGTTTCAAAAAAATGAGATCAAATCCATTGAATTTTCTATATCTTTAAAAATAATTGAAACTTACATAAATATCTTGAAATTTACAATTAATCTTGAATTCTTTAGTTTCACTATTAATGGAAAAAGCACTTTTGTTATTTTGAAAACATAAAATAAATTGATACCAAATAAATTACCATTTCAAAGGGCAGATCTACATACCAACAAAGTCTAACAAGTGACTATTTCTTTGTCATGTAAACACCAAATATCAGGTAATGGGAACAACAACCTTTCAATAACCTCAACACCAAATAATTTGCGAAGTTTTGTTTTTCATTAACAAATGCATGAAAGCTCATTCTTATCACTACTAATGAATATAATTGTTATAAATCACTCTTTAATTATTTTGACATATTTCATGTTTTTTAGTTTAAGATTGCAGTTATTTTTTCCTTCCAATTTTTTTTATTAACACAAGAAATCTTTAAAAAATTAACCAGTGTTAAAACTTATTTTGACATTCCCATAATAAAGATGACTAGTGACCACTTTCTATAATATAACTTCTGCATTTATATATTTGAGCATGTGACAAAAAAATATAAAAGCATTCCAACGCATAACATAGAAATAGTTGGTAGCACAAACAATTTATATTAAAAAATAAGACAGTTTATTTTGGCTAACATATCAAATCTTCCAGGTAAGATTTAATACATCTTTCAGCGTGCAATTAATAAATACATTTTTAGATATTTATGTTTTTATATAAAAATAAAAAATTCACATTATAAATAGTAAATGCAAAATATTCAAATGCATTTACAATAATGTATTCTATAAGACAATTTGATACTTACAGATTCTACAACTTGAAACTGTAATTAGTTAAAACAGCTAATGATAGCTTGGTAATCAAACTGAAAGTTTAGCCATGCTGAGGCAGAGAAACGTAAATCACTTGACGTATAAGTGAGTTTTTCATGTGCAGGCAGACAATTCTTGTTGGCACTGGGTTGCGAACTCTTATTTACCAATTTGTCATCATCTATTAAAACAGAACAAATACTTGCATTACAAATATCAGTTTACATTACCTTATTATTTTATTTGAAACAGTAAATCAATTGTGTCATAACACAAGAGAAAAATAAATCAAAATCATAAGATACATTCTAATGAAACAAAAATTATTCATTTCAATTTATCAATGATAAACATTAATAAAGAACCTAACATGCAACACACTGTGTTGGATACTCGGATCGACATGAAATTTTACCAGCTGGTTCAGCACTGGGCAAAAAGTATATAAGTAAATTTTTAAGTGCTATGAAGCGCTGTAAGTAATCTTTTTGCCACAATTAGTATTTGGATCTTTTATAACCTCCCTAGCCACAGCGCAGAAATCACTGCACAGACACTATCAGTGTATCTGTCATAAGGGTCTCAAGAGTCTCAGAGGTACTGGCGGATCCAGGAGGGAAGGGAGGGGGGCATGGAAGCCATGCCCCCCCCCCCTCAAAAGGAGAATTACGTTATTATTTAAACAATAATAATGTATAGAGTATCTAATATACAACATATTAACAAACATGTGTATTATTTAACAAAAATCTATGATGGCCCCCTCCAAAATGATCGGTTGGATCCACCCTCGCTCAGAGGGCATGTAAAGTAACACAAACTTGTTTTCAAGCAGGTGTGGGAAGATCCATCACTTGCTTCAATTATTCAGATTTTATTATAAAGACAAAGTTCTCTGAAAATATCCTCTTATATAAGAATAGAATTTCAGAATTCAGTATGGTTTCCATCAGAATAAAATAAATAAATGTCACTTTTGGAATGAAAATTGAACAATTTTTCTACAATGATATCAAAAAATAGGATTCAAATCATAGTAAGAACATTCCAAGTGCACTATAAAGTTACTTTTTCAGCTTTTTTTTCTTTCAAAACATTGCTTTAGATCCTCAAAACCAAATAAGAACTTGTTCTTCACTTCCAAACAGAAAAGAACAAGCTGGTATGAATGCCCTTTGACCTGAACTAAAAAGCATGCTATGATATCTGACACCGGTTGCTGGTTGACACAGGCTCTCTTAACGTTCCTGTCACTGCCGATGCAACAATTCACCTGTAGAAGGTGCAGAGATCATGTAAGGTTCTGAAGCAAAACATCTCCAAAAGCCTATTTCTAATATTCCATAACATATCAAAATTTGGATATATGAGTTTTGCATGGGGTTACCACTTAATGAAATTTTGTGCGAATCTGAGTATCCAGCATAGTGAGTATTGGCTATTAGCTCAAAAAAGATAGTAATTTTCTCATAATAATTCACTGCAAGTGATAAGGAGAGAATAACTGATGTAATGAACAAGATATATCAACACAAATATGATAAAAATAAATAATAAAACAACGAAAATAAACAAGCAAGTTAACTAAGCGACCTTGCAAATAAGATTTGACTGATCAAAAGAAATTTAATAACTATGGCTGCCAAACCCTAAAACAGTTGGCAGGATACCATTCAAAAATTTAACTTTTCCAAGGAAACAATATACTTGTCGTAATAAAAAAAAATTAGAAGTAATGAGGTTCGACTTGTAGGTGTACCTTGTCAATCAACATGTTAATCTATCAAGTAACAGAAAACTACCCAAGGTAGCCTACTTGCATCGTCAATACTGCCTGGAAATGGCACAAGACGTGAGCATTTTTCTTTTTTATTACCAAACTTTTTTGCTTTAAACTTATTAATGTTTCAATCCTTTATTTGGCATTCTTAGTTATTGAGATATTTGCATTTATCTATACCAAAATAATGAAATGTTGAATTCATTATAGGGTAGTAATAGCAAGTCAATTTTCTAAAATAAATGACCAAACATTTGTTTACACATTTGAATGTTTACGCACCAGAAACATATTTTTGGTTCACACCATTCTTCAAAGTAAACATTCATTTCCTGAAAGTATTTGGTAAACAGCAAATTACTAATATTAACCTTAAGCAATATTTACCCTGAAATAATTGCCTCTTGAAAGTAGCTTTATGAGTTCTGTTATTTTCTTGTCTTCGTACATTTCGAGGAGGAGATGTGTTTGCTTTTTGTTGTCGCATTAATTGAACTGCTTGTACTTCAACCTAAAGCATAATAATAATAATAATAATAATAATAATAATAATAATAATAATAATAATAATAATAAAAAATTAATTTATTTTATATGGGTTATTAAAACAGACAATTTTCATTAGAAAAATGAAACAAATGTTTATTTATTTCTTTAAATATTAAAGCAATAGAGTACAGAGATATTTTGACCTTCATTTTAGAGATTCTTTTCAACTCCTTTCAACACATAAAAAGCAATCGTGTAATAGTTCAAAAACATGTGTAATTGTTAAATGAAGAGCACCTGACATATAGCACCAGTGGGCAAATTGTGAAATTTCAACAACTTAGTTAAATGCATTAAGCATTGCACCATGTTTTTATATGAGGAAATACTGTAAAAACCAAAGCCAAATTAATTTAAATTTTGTTTCAGATTTATCCCAGAAAAATAATATTAGAGGTGGCCAGTTAATCAAGGTTATGAAATTACAGGAAGCTTAGATGAGGACTTAATGTGCTAATTACCATAAACTAAAAACTTTTTCAAGGACAACAATTTTAACCTGAAACTATTAAGGAATCAGTTATCTTCATACTGAATTTAAGGTATATGCCAGAATCCAAAACAATAGCTTAAAAACTATTTGTGAAGGTCATCTATTAAATGAACAACACAATTGAACAAGACAGATAATTGAAAAGAGAAGAGAATATAATTTGGAAACCCATCGTCATAGACATTGAGAAAGCTCTTGACAGAGTGGTAAGAAGAAAGCTACGGCAAATATTAGAGACAAGAGGATATCCCAAACAATAATACCAAGTACAAAGTCATTGTATAGTGGAATGGAGATAGTTATAGTGAAAGGAACCGTGAAAGGAAGCAGAAGAAGAACCATTTTAAAAACAAACTACACCTAAATTATAATAAACAGGCAAATCTGTCACATAAATTTTACTAATATTAACAAAATATGCCTTAATGAATTGTTTCTTTATGAAACATGCATATGTTGTTTCAAAATTCCTAAAAACATGCCCATTACTTTTTATTAAATTTATATCCTACTGCATTTAAAAATGTCAGCACATTTTCTAGCAGAAACATTATCTTTTTTAGGATCACATACCTTCTTCATAAGGATAAAAAAAAAAAATCATCACAAATCTCAGTAAGGCAATAGTCAGCATGTCCCTTCAAGTTCATGGATCAGGTTGATCCAAGACACAGTGCAAGCCAAATACAAAGTGGGGCAGAGGAATTTGAGAGCCAAGGGAAGGGGGAGGTGAGAGGAGGAAAAGGGCAGGATATGACGACTTGTTTTGCAGTTATCTTCCAACCATTATGTAATTTACAAATGTGTTCTACAGATTGTGAGTATGTTTTGTTTTATGAATGCATACCACTAGGTGTGCCCAAACAAAATAATAAGCCTGGAACAGTAGAATTACAAGGGCCCTTTATTTCTAACCTAAGTCCCTACCCCTCCACCATACATTAGCAGAATTCATCTCACCAAGCAACATAAATAACTTATAGTGGTTAATTGGATTTATAAGTTAATACATTTTTTTATGATTTGAATGAATGAACAGATGCAAGAAAGATAAGAGAACTAGTTGTGCTACAGGATGGCACAGACTCTCCTGTACTAGTTGGTTTTCTAATTTCTTCAATCTGGTCTAACTATGAAGAACAAATTTCATTCAAAGGAAAAATCTCGATCTTCAATTTTAGTTGTAGAAAGACGCCGAAAAAATTCAAACTAAATTTTCGAAAATTTAGAGTTAACAGTGAAATTCAGAACTCTCCCATTTATATTAGTATATTTTACCCTATTCTTTCAAAAAATTTGGAGCCATTTTCAGAAAATTTTGAAAATGTTCTACGGGCTTCATGTAGTAAGTATACCCAAATTTTTAAGCAAGTTTTTCAAAATCGCAGCACCTTCAGATGAGCCAGATCAACCGGGGGAATATCCAATTTGGAAAACATCCTATGTATAGGCACTAGTAGTGTTCACACACAGATAGACAAATGTATGTTGCGAAAACAACACTTTTTCCGGTATCAGGGAACTCCCAAACATGTAATTTAAGTTAGGGCCTGAGGCAAATTGTTCTCCCACCCCCTCTGGGCATCACTGAATATCCATGTCATGTGCACCTTCAATTTTATGTTTGGCAATACCATTCTATAATAATTCTAATTTAAACAATTTTTTCTTCTAATTTTCAAATTCCATTGTTTCAACACAAAATGTCTGTTTTGTTTCCTAAAAATTATACATTAATATACAAACAAAAATGTTAAGTTTTTATTTTGTTTGCTTACAATAACTGAGTAAGCAAACCTACAGACCTGAATAACTTGAGAAAAATGCATTTGCTGTTTTCTAGTTTTGGGTTGACTTGTTTCAACTTCTCCAACTGACTTATGACGATGACGTCTTGTACCCTGAATCTTCTTTTGTTGCTTATCAAATATCCATTTCTTCAAACGTCTGAAACAAAACAAAGCTCTATATACAACCTTTCAACAAGTTCAAGTATGAAATAAATTGAACTGTTATAAATCACTTGTTTCATGTTCTTTGATACATGGATAACAAATTAACAAGAGAAAAAACTTTTTTAAGTATTTTAAAATATTTGCTATTGATGATGATAAAATTCTCTCCTAAAATAAACAAGAACAACACCTATTACATCTTGTTAGAAAAAGATCATGACTTTATCAAGAATAATTCCCCAAATATCTCACAAAATGACTAAAATTTTTAAAATTGCCAGTAATAGTTTTAAAACCCACCTGAAAAGGCATCTCATAGAAGTATATGGAAAATCAGAATTTAACAAAATTAATGAATGCTTTTGCTTAATGAAGCAAGCCCAGCATTCGACAGGTCATATCCCTAAAAAGGTTGTGAGTCTGCACAGATTTGCAAGAATATGTAGTTGCTCAAACAATGAATGACGAGTTCTTTTAATGTTAAAATGTCCAAATATAGGGCTGTAAGTGAATTAGCATATAATTTATGAATTTCAAAGACTCATATAATTGAAAGTATAGTCTTAACAGTGACCGAATTCAGATGACGTTAAAAAATTGAAAAAAATAATAATGACCTGATAAATAAAAACCTTTAACTTTGTGAACAAATTGGCTGCGGAAGAGGAACCAACCAGGTGGTACAAAAAACTACTGATTATAGATAGTGTGGCTACATAACAAGTCCACAAATATTTATATGATATACCTGTGGGATGGGTGGACAACAAAAAGGCATTGGACTGAGTCTCACGCATGGCTTCTGCATCCTTGAAACTTAGTAGATTAACCCAGCTTTACTGATTTTTCTCTCCGAGTGTACATTCGAATGAAAGTCTTCTATGCAAGTTATGCGGGGCAGTATCTGTCTAGGAATGTTTCAGGGTGACAGTTTGAACCCACTGTGGTTCTGCATCTCCCTTATCCTAGTCAAATTAATGATCAGAGACAGGGTATAGGTAATTATTAAAAGAAACCCAGATCTTCACATATCACATCAATTTTATATGGACCTCAAACTCTATGCACGCAACAAAGACTAATTGCAAAATAAACTTGGCATAGTCCATCAATTTACTCAAAATATTTGCATGGAATTCGGCTTAGTGATATTAAATATATATGATATTAAAAGTCAAAAGTGGTTAAGCCCAAAATGAGGAAGGTGAATTACAACTCTTAGGAGAAACCATCATACAAAGCCTTGGTAATGAAGACTTGAATAAATATCTGATGACGTTGCTGCTGTTGAATATTTCTAACATGAATGTCAGAAATTGGATTCAAAAGAAAGAACTATCCAGGCTGGCACTAAACGGTCCCTCGAAGGTCATTATATACAATTTCTACTATAAGTAATATTTGAAAACTGGCATATGTTAATTAAAATGATGCTAATGTCATGTGACTTAGTACATTGTGCTCTATCCACACACGTTTGAAGAAAAATCTGCGGCAAATATTGCAAGTTTATTACATGTATATATATGTGTGTGTATATTTATATATACACACACACATATATATATATATATATATATATATATATATATATATATATATATATATATATATATATATATATATAGATATAGATATAGATATATAAACTAATTTTCTTGGAAATTTATCAAATCTTGGCTTTTAATATTTAAAAAAAAAATTAATAAATAAAACATTCCTTTCAATTTTTTACTGCAGAAATAATGAATTTTCAATTATGATTAAAGAAAATCAAGTGATACATATTCTTCCACGTTTTTTTTATCTACAAAACTTTTGTCTCCATAAAAATTACACCATGTTATGGTTACATGAACGTATACTTACTTAATAAATGGCACAACCATAAAAAATGAATTTGGACCAACTCCTATTTTCACTTTAGGAGTCATGTCTTTTTTATTTGCAGGCAAATCAGCAATTGTAAACCACTCAACGCTCTTTATTTCATTACGTGTACGGGGTTGAAACTTTGTGTCCTTTTGAATTCCCGTAATAATATATAGTCTTACTAGTTGATCATTTATGGTTGATTCAATATATTCATTCTTGTCTATAAATTTACTGATATCAAAACCAGTTTCTTCGAGAACCTGAGAATGTGTCAATTAACAAAATATTACATACAACATTTGCTTTCAAGTCATAACAATATCGTTGACTAACAAGAGATCTCCAAACTCTGGGGAAGACCAAAACATTTAATTTTTTTATTCAAATATTTGTATGATTACATTCCCATATAATAAATGAGAGTAAATCAGAGATTATGAAATCACATACATTTACAATGACACTACAAACATTGATTTTATACTTTCTCTTTACTAAAGAGAATCATCTACTATCATGAGTCTGAGTCAGGTAAGTATAAATGTATTACAACTGTACACATATATCCCTCATACAAAATGTGCCAAGGTGTAACTTTCCTTATATCAAATTCTTAAGGACGTTCAGTATCCAACGAGTTCAATTTCTCAATTGTATTCAAAAACTAAGACAATTTTGTTTTAAAACAGTGCTATTACACAGTTGGTACAAATAACAATTTTGTGGATAAGTAGTAAATGTGCAGATTCAAGGAATACAGCAACTCACTTCTATTTTGATGGAATATTGGGAATTAGCATCAACATACACCATAAAACCACAATTCCCCCCCCCCCGTACAGTAGTCTATAACAGAATACAGAAAATTCTGTAATATGTAGATTTTTAATCTTAGTCGGCTCAACCATTAAATTTTTTAAAATTCTATAATTTAAAAACATTTAAGTGAACGACAGAATGTTATAAAATTCAAATAAATTTAGTAGTTCATAAATTTTACAGGATCTATTTTACAAAACTTTTCATGATAAAAAAGTCAAAAATGTAAAAAAAATTCTAGGACTGTTTAAAGGCAGATTTCTTGAATGGCTGAAATTGTGGCTATCACCTAAAGATTGGAGATCTCGAGACTGAAGATATATTCGCACCTCTCTGACAGCACAGTGACAAGGATCTTCCTCCTCATTAACTTTCCCTTTTGGAAATCCCCATGACGACTTGGCCCAATAACTCTGAACCAACAGCACCTGGGAAAGATCTTCATTCAAAAGAATTGCCCCATATGTTGGCACTGATTGTTTATATTCTCTCCACTGTTCCAGAACAGAATCAAGACTTTGCAGATGGGGCTTCAGATATGAAATACGCTGAAATATGAAATAATTATTACACTAAATGTCACACGGGCTATGAATTGCAATTCAATTTACAGTTAATACATAGTTTATATTATTTTAGTGAAAAATGGGGGAAATTTTAGAAAATTTATTGAAATAACACTAAGAAAATATTTATACAATTTTTTAATTGGAATGTAATGAAATTTGCAACTCATACTTGCACACAAAAACAACAAATATATATCCATTAGTAAAGAAAAATTTTAAAAACTAGTTTTGAATAATGAATATACTACTTACTTGAATGACTTTGTCATTTGCAAATTGCAACAATTATTAGTTTCAAGACTCAGATGGGAGCCCCTTTTGAGTTTTATAAGGTTACAAGAAGCTGTTAGTACATGTATGGTTCAAACTTTCATTTTAAGCTCAAGGGATATTACATACAATTGTGGCTTAATTTTAAATGACAACTATAAAGAATTGCATTACAAGATAAAATGAAAACAAATTTCTACCATATTTTCTCTGCAAGAAAAACTGTTCTAAAAGTCCATCAACAACAAATCAATAGTTTTTAAACTGCAGAAGAAATAGTTGTTTACAAGAGGTGGGCGAGACTAGGTGTAATCACAATTGTCCATGACTGTACTCTTGAACTTATAATTGCAAATAATTTACAGTTTAAAAAATGGCCCAGTAAAATGTTTTAAGACTAACTGTATATTCTACATTACAATAAGAGCAAGTACCTCTGGTATGCTACTTTGCATAATAATTAAAATACAATTAAATAATGTCACCTGAAAAATATGCGCAGTGAATTCTTTCATACCGCATGGCTTCAAATTGTTTCCCTCAGCACAATAGAAATCCAAATAAAACCAATGTGCCAGTTCAATTTGAAAGCAAATCCTCACAAGATCTTTTCTCTCTTCCTCAGGTACATTTATGATAAAACGGCTGTCAACAATATTATAAGCTGTTTGAAATCTGGTATGAACAACACAAATTCACGGAGACAAGAAAACAGATGTCAAACCTGCACAAATCGTCCAATATATCTAGTGGGATAGAATGTTCAACAGTAACTTCCATACCATAAAAACAGAATATATACAAAACCAGTATACTCTTATCTTTAATGTAATCAAAAAACACTTATGCTTCTATTTGAAGAACACATTGAGGTTATACGAAAGAGGAACAACGCTCGCACATAAATACAGCCACAAACTTTGTGGCACAACGCGCTTTCCACTTTCGACATCTACAAGCCTCTACAAGCAGGTTGTATTTACATAGTGTAAGTGAAGTGTAGATTGGTCTAGATGGCGTTGACTTCACACATGAACTTGGTGGCCATAGAGATGTACTGAATGACGTCACTTTTGGCGGGAAAGTGTTTGGTGGCAAGTTGTGTGCGCTTAAACTTTTTCTAGAGCATAATGTTTTGGGTTGTATTTCTTTTCACATTTGTTAATTGTAATTATATTTGTTTCTTTTTGGTTTGTTTTTATACTGGCTGCGGATATCGTCCACAAAGACTTCAAGAAATTAGTTGTAATTTGCAAAAGTTTAAACTTTTTCGGCGTCTTCCTGGAACTACTGTAATGAAGATATTTTTTTTCCTTAATGAAATCTGTTCATCAAACACAGATCTTCAATAAAAGTTCCTTTTTTCGAAAATAAGAGCAGTTTTTGTAATTTTTTAATGAAACAAAGGCAATTTTAAACAGTTATTTTCTCAAAAACGCTCCTTATTTTTCCTTTAGACTTTCCCCCCAAATGTAGCAAGGAAGGCAAAGAAATTGGTGCTGATCCCATCTTCAACAAACTATTTTCGGAAATTGCAGATACCAAAAATTTAACCACGCAAAAATACAATTTTTATGGTATTTTTTGTTAATTCAGTTCTTTAAAAAAATTCGATACATTTTCAAAAAGTCTAATTTTTGCAAATTTAGATTTCCCGCGCTCCATTTGCTAGCCTCAAGAAAATATCAGATTTGAATGTGGCAATGGCATTCTGCACCGCAAGACGGCAGTTAGGTATTCTGAGAATTCCTTCTCATTGTTGGAACATGTTATTCTAGCTGTACGCAGTTTTAATTGTCAATTTTTTGTCGATATTCACTTAAAAATAATTAGTTTTCGTAACTAATGTTCTATTATTTGTAATGAGTTAAAAATATTGACTGAGATGAGTTAATATCGATAGAAAATGCGGTATAATAATTACTGTTTATTTACAAATCTCTTATTACAGGGGGGACGTTGCGAGTGGCAGCGTAGAAAAGGTGAGTCAGAGACACGAGGCATTATTACCTTCATCACGGCCTCCTCTTTATTAGGCCGTGCCTACATCCTCTCTATTCCACCCTAATAGTCGCTAGAACGTTTAATGCATATGGGAGTTTGGACATATTAAGATTAATTGTGTAATAATATCTCGTGATGCGGTAATAATCGGTATATCATGTAACCGTTACTATGGGCGAGAAAGTACATGCTATTTAGCACTAGTTCAAGTTGAGGAGACATGTCCAAAACGTAGCCAACGTTTTCCTTTCTTTTATTATCTTTCAACTTTTAACACAAGTAAGCCTACGAAAGTACTTTGTTTAAAATAATGCATGTGTTCTTTCGCTAAGACACGAGTACAAGAATATTTAATCTACTTACTAAACCTCTATGATTTAATCTTAAGTAAACATGTTCTCATGTAAAATTTTGGTGTTGGAAGGGAGGCTGTCAAATGGGGCATTGTTACTAGGTTTGTAACTGTTTATATCAACACGATTCCATGCCCCGCTAAACTTTTCTTTATTCCATGCAGTTATGAAGTTTTTATAACTTGTAAACACAGTCTTGAAACGTTATATAAAATTACAATGCTCATTTCTTTTCGCCTTGCATTTTTCCTTGTTCAATATATGTGTTGTTTGTTCGCTCTGCAAATAATTCTTACACGTCTTTCTAGTTTCCTATGTTGTGTTTTAAAAAATTGTTACAAAAGTCGCCCTTGTGTTAACTATACTGTTGGTAAAACTTCTTGCTGACAACTGGGAAGCATACAGTTTGTCTAATTGTAAACTCTATAACAAAAATTATTTATTGATTTGAAATTATAAAATGCGATTTAAACAGTGAATTCAATAAATATTATACTGTTTTAATTCGTTACTGACGACCTGGATTGCCGAGGTAGCTAAGAGCGTGTATCGACTTTGCACTTCGGTCCAAAGAGTCGCTGGTTCGAGTCCCAGCTTCGGTATGATTGTCCCTTGTGTCTCATGTATGTGTTGTAGGGGAGGGCCCCGCGTCCAGATCAGAGGAGCCCGCAAGTGTGTTGGTGTCTAGTGTATGGTGAGTGGAATGTGCATTCCATCAGGACGTAAAAGGGCAACCACCTGTAGGCTGGATGAAAGCCGAAGGAAAAAAACAAAACTGTAGTACGGATTTTATAACTCTACCCCTCAAGGCCCTACTTCACGGAGGCATTCTGTCACCGTATTTCGCGTATTTCTCGGTCGAGCAGCTAGATGTCGCTTGATCGCGACCGTATTTGGCACTGCTATATGTCGCGATCATGCTACACCTAGCGGCAGGGCCAAGAAAGACGCGAGAAACAGAAACATAATGCCATTGTGAAGTAGGGCCTTGAGGGGCAGAGTTACAAAAACCGCAATATAGTTACTGCTTTACTGCACCCACAAACAGGTGGGTGAGAAATCCCTTTACATGTTACGAGTATATTGATATTCTGCAGCAGCTTCACACTTTATATGCAACAAAAATAAAATTCAAAATTATTGGCCAATTTGTGTTTTGTCGGTTTTTTAAAAAAATATTAGAGAGACTTGTTAACGTACGAATGAAAACATTTCTTAGTAACACGACGCGTTTTCAGATTACCAACATGGGATTCGAAAATCAAAATCTACGGACTCAGCCATAAAGATGTCTCATCCATGGATCAAAACGAAGAACCTATTGGAATTTTTTAGATCTTTCAAAAGCTTTTGACGTCATTGATCATAACATTTTACTCTTAAAATTACCTTCATATGGTATTCGTGGTGTTGATCTAGATTGTTTATGTTCGTACCTTTAACACGATCTGAGAGAGTAGAAATACCTTAGTGGAATAATGGAACATTATGTACACACCTTTCTGATTCTTTGCCAATTGCATGTGGAGTTCCGCAGGGATCGATTTTAGTCTCTTCATACTATACGTAAACGTTATGCCCTCGACGATTAGAAACGGAAGAACAGTTCTTTGCAATAAAGGAATCGTAAACAGTACAATATCAAATATTTCAAATTGGTTTCGTAATAACAAATTAATAGTAAATGAAAAGAAAACTGCTCCAATGCAGTTTTCTATTTCAAATAAACAGCTTGGCACTTCACTGAAAATGAACGGCGTTCCATTGACTGATGTTAAGGTAACGAAATTTTTAGGCCTTTGAATTCAGTTAAACCTTAAATGGAACGTCCATTTCAATGAATTGAACACTAAATTAAGTTCTTTATGCTACGCTTTCAGAATTCTTTCAAATTCAGTCAGCCTATACACTGCTCGTTGAGTATATTTTGGGAATGTTCATTCCCGCCTGAGATATAACATAATTTTCTGGGAAAATACATCTTATAGCTACCAGACTTTTAGATTACGAAAAAGAATTGTAATAATAATAAGAAAATCCCACCCACGTGATTCTTGTAAGCATCTCTTTATTAATCTAGCTATTATGCCATTACCTTGTCTCTTAATATATGAATCAGTGGTTTATGTCAAAAATGACTTAAGGGCGGGAATATATTTTTTGCAAACGCCGTTGTCTATAACTACAACAGTCGACGTAGAAATCATATTCATTAGGTAACAGTATCAACAGCTCACTACAAAAAATCACATATAATACATGTACATTGTTTTACCACACCTTGCCAGTGTGGCGTCTTTGCCGGGGCAATAAATCACAGACATGAACGGTTTGTAATTCATTGAGTATTTATTTGAAATAAGCTCCAACACCTGAATACTATGCACAATAATTACAATAAACAATATTGATCCGTTACTAGAAGGAATGTTCCTGGTCACCACCACCGCTGGCCTGATAATTAGATATCTTATTCGGTGTGATGCACCAGTAGCCTACGTGAGCATACAAGCGAGTATGACCCACGACAAGGCACCCCTTCCCTTCCGCACCTTAGGTTTGCCATTGTTCAGCCCGGCGTCTCTTCCCGCCAGCGCTGTCCATGAGCATGAAATGCACATGGCTAATATTTTGTCACGTTTGTACAAGGCGACTGATATGACGCCACACCAGATGGCATTAAACGATGAAATTCGATACAAAAGTTTAAGTCCCAAGTAAAATTTTTTCTGCTGCACAACTGCTGCTATACAATTAGAGACTATACCATTTGGATTGTATAATTGTAAAGAACCTGTAATAAATATTGTACTTCTGGAAATCAAACGACAAAGTTTGATGCATGAGTTTTTCTTATCTCACTACTCCAATAGATGCATTATGCAGCGACGTACCTTTTAAATCATAACTAGAAAACTATTGCAAATAAGGAATTTTTTTACCAAAATATTCCTAAATAATTATTGCATAGAAAAAATAGTTTTAAAAAATCGGATTTTTAAAATGTTTTAAGGCACCTTAAACAAAGTCCGTTGTAAGAAATCAACTCTTTAAAAAGGTCACGTACAATTTTTTGAAAAAAAAGCTGATTTCACTAAATTAGTGCCTGACATTTATGCAATTGAAGAAATATTTTCTCAATACCCGCACGGATTTTTTCATTAAGTTTCTCCTCGTTTGTAACAACACATAGTAAATAAATAAATAAATAAACTAGTGCTATAGAATGGCACAGACGTTCTGGCACTAGTTATCTAATCTTTTTATGAGGACTAGCTTTTTGGTTAGGCCTTATTCTCTCCCCAGCTGCATTCTTTAGTCACTCATACGACATTTTTTCACATTCTCTCAATTTTTCATCTCCCTAATGCCAGAACTGAATCAATATTACCTTGACTACTATAGAAGTGTAAAGCCCATGTCCAACCCGGATTGAGTTGGTTGGGCATGTACGGTTTCAGCGCTTCGAGACAAAAGGAATCGGTTTTGAATTCCACGCGGGGATTTTAATTTGATGAATGTGTTGCAGAAAACTATTGGGGATTCGAGAAACTTTATTGAAAACCATTTTAATCATTTATACTCACAAATTCAATTAATACAGGTAAATAATCCTGACGTGTCTGAACGCTTTTCCAATTTACAACTTTTAAACATTTTTTACCTCCCTTATTCCATTTCTGAAACGTATGTCATGTCAAATCATTTGATGTCTTTCTGTGAATCTGTATGAACCGATTTAAGTAAACTAATGAATCTATCAACATGAAATTCAAATATATTATAAACACTATCTATGGAAGCAACTTAGATTTTCTTTTACCATGGTATCCCTAAAGGTTCCGAATACGATTACTTCTCACTCTTTCAAAGGTTCGTGCCCTTACGGCGGTTTTCTGTTATAATGGTATCGGTGTCGGTAAGTTAACTCTGACAATCTGAATTGGGTTTCAGAGTGGAAATAAATTGTTGCTGGTTGAAAACTTTTTTGCAAGTGTACGTAGTAGAATAATATTGCGGAGCAGTTAGAAGTAATGCAATAAAGTATGTGCTTTTGTGGCACCACTAGTTTAAAATATGAATATCTTGAAATCACGACTACACATGTTTCAAGGAAATAATATTGTTTTTGAATGAAATATCAGTGAGAAATATGTTTTGAATAAATTTAATAAAATAATCAAAAAATAAGTAGAGGTAAGGCAGAGCCTCTGTGTCCCCTTCTCGGAAACCGTCCCTGTTCAGTAACGTTTTGCCTACCCTGAACATTTGTTTATAAGCCGTCTGCTATTCTTGCTTCAAAGTAGAAATGAATTTTGTCCCCTTTGTTACGAAGGTGCTGTAATTTTAATTTCCTGATTTCTGGGAACAGTAGGGGATCTAAAAAAATTTACTCTCTCCCGTCCTCTTTTGCCCCAGTTCTCTACCGGACATAACTTGGTTATCGTGAACTTTATTTTAAAGAAAAATAACGTCTTACTTCGTGGAAGTGTACCTATACAAAACAAAAATTATTTTAAACCATTAAAGGTACACGAAAACCTCCGATAAATAATGATCTCGATGTATTAAAAGAAAATTGACACTTATACCGTATTTTAATACTTATAACTCGCGGCATCCAACATCTGTCACTTGTCACCGAGAGGCGACGGTGCTGTTCCCTGCCTATAATTCTCTCTGGTGCTCAAGTCACGTGTTCTCAACACTTCTACAGACTGACAGAACAGCTGACTCCGCAAGCCTTCCTGCTATATTTACAGTATATACCAAAGAGTATAAAACGCAGTATATACATAGTTGTACCGTGCTACATGTGAAGTAGATAGTAGTGCTAGTGATAGCATGAGATCTGATTTAGTATCTGCTTTCTTGGAAATTGTTTCCAATCTGTTGTGCATTTTTATTGGAAAAATTTCACGCCATAGGCAGGTCAGTTTCGTAGTCAATGAGTATTAATTACTATATTATTAAATTTATTTTAATTGTTATTTTCATGTGAACTATTTTCATTTTTTCTCTCTGAAATTTTTGTTGTAATTTGTGGCAATGTATGGTTGCATGTTCTGAAGCTAAATCTCATAGATCCATGATCACTGGAACCACTGGAACTACTTGTTTGTACTTGGAATTCCCAATGCTGTCATGTGAACTTCTGCATCTATTTTGCATTAAAGAATAATATGTCCTCATACAGAATTTGAATTTTTTTATTGTAAATACATAATAAATGATGGGTCACAGAGAGATACTAGTCTGTAATATCTAATAAATATAGCATTGAAAAAAAATTGAGAGACTTTTGAAATAACATTTTTTTTTGCTGTACCACCAAAATTCACACTCTGTTTACAAGAAGTGCAAATTACCTACTAATATTTGTATCCAGCAGGGTCCACTGACAAGTTTTCTACATTTAATGTAGTTGTTCTTTGTTTTATTTTAATGTTTCTTCGTGTGACATTGTCCATTTGTTTTGTTGGACAGGCATCCTACTTCCATCTACATTTCTTTAACTCTAATTATTTTTTCTTGTTTTCTCAATTAATTTCTGTCAAATGTTGACTTGTCCATCTGTCATGTTTATGTTCCACTAAATATTAAACCGGTTTCATAGTAAAATGGCATAAGTGTGACTTATATCTCTCATTGGCCCACCTCATTTTTATTATACTAATATTTTTTGTTTTTGTTTTTTGTGTGTTTTATATAAGTGTTTATTTGTTGAATTCTTCTTCCCCTACTTCATTAATTGGTACATTACATAAACACATGTAATAATTTTATGAATACTGACAATTCATAGCCAAATAAATTACTTAATGTATGTTTAAATTACCTGAATATGGTTCAGTGTTGTTTGTGTCTTTAGAAACTTGTTCTCATGAAAAGTAGCAGGCTAATAACTATTGTCACTCACAATAGTGTGCATTCAATTTTTGTAAATTGCATTTTAGGAACTGGTGTTGAGCCCTGTCATGTTGATTTAAAGTATGGAAAGAAATGCATATTAAAACCTAAAGTATGGTATCAAGTGCAAGTATTATGCTTTCTTTGTTGTGAAATTCATAAGTGTAGTTAAAATTGAAATTAAAATATATTAACAATTGAAACTTGTAATCTTGACAATATTCCAGCTCTCGCTGTTGATAGACGACTAGTTGTGTGACCAAGCAGGGAAGATTGAGAATGGGAAGGGGAAAGGGGAAAGTGTGATGGTACTTATTTCAAATATTTTTTAAATTTTACATAGCAAGTTATGCATTAGTAAACTAGTTACCATCCACCATGGAGTTCATTGAAGTCATCAATTTAATTTAGAGTTTCTTAAACCATTCGAGAGTATCTTCTGTTTGTAACAGTCAAATAAAACATTTTTAAAATCTATCCTATATGTATGTTCAATTCTCTGCTTTGTACAGAATATTGCTGCTGTGTCCATTTATTAATTTCTGTAATTTTCTTTTGGTCTGTTCTGTATAATTGAAAGTGCAGTCCTGAGAATTTGGTAAACAAATTTCACATTACCCTTCTTGGCAATTTTATTTTATTTTTGCAATTTTGTGAAAGTGGTATTTATTAGTAATTTTTTGTGGATTATTTTCATATCAATATTGTTTGCATTATATTACTTTTGAAACGTATTGTTCATTTCTGGTGTGTATGGTAAAAATAATCTAATTGTTTCTTGGTGGCACTCATTTGACACTTGAGTCCTGTTTATAAGTTGCCATGTTGATTAATACATTTTTCAACTCAGGTAAATTACTCAGAAATTTACTTAGATACAGTTTGGTCCTAATTGTATTTAGATGTTGATTATAATATCTGGGTCCTGATAGTTCAGCATCTTGATCAACTAGCCTATAAATAATACCAATTTTTTGTTCTTGCATACCTTGATATGTAATTTTGAATTATGTCTGTATGATTCGATTTTTGGTTCCAAATGGTGCACCAATGACCTTTGATACTTTTGTACTGGTCTTGTAATCAAATTGCTTTTCTACTTGACGTTACAATGTTTATGGCTACATGGGCACCTCCTTTGTTGCTATTAATGAATAAAATGCCTGTATTTCATTTATTTTCTTTGCTTATTGTAATTTCCTATAAATATCTTGATCATGATGTCTCGGAATAATAAGTTTAGCAATAAAATTAGTAGGTAATGACATATCTAAATTCCTTTGAGTTGTGTTTCAGTAATGTCCTAGAGTGTAATGTGTTTCTCTGACTAATATCAAATTTGTCACAAACTTCTTGTTTTAATATAAATGTCAGGATATTATCAATTTGCTTAATCTCATTTTTCAACTATTTTTCTAAAAATTGGTCATTGATGGCAATGTTAAGTGTACACTTTTCCTGTTCCTATTAATTAACTTTGCTTTTAATGAATTATGTAATTTTGGCTTTTAAATTAAAAATTATGTAGGGCCTAATAATTTTTAATAACATTTGTTGTAATGCTATTTTTTCTTGCAATATTTTGGAAACTGTAGATTTCAATGGACTTGGTACTTAATGTGGTACATTTATTCATATTTTTAAGAAGAGTGTGTTTCAAGGATGGAGGCCACTGATGAATCAGAGTTACCTAGGTTGTTCTTAATCCTTGTTCAATGTAGGTAGAATATGAGTCACTCTAAAAGTAAGTAAAGGAAGAAGTATGGTTAAATATGCAGTGAAAGACAGAAAGAACATAGGGCCATATTGATATAATTGAAATATTAAATATTATTATCATGTACAATATATATTAAAACTTACAACATTGAAATTAAAACTGTGTAAATACATTTAATAGAGATTTTTACCCTGAACTCTGAAATAGCATCATGGTGTACTGATAACTAAAAATTTGTAACTTTAATTTTTTGAAATTGCAACACTTTTGTTTTTAAATATGTATTTAAATCACTAAATTAGTAATATGAGGTTGTGGAATAATCATTATTCTGCCCAATTATATTGAATATTTTGTTATTTTAGGAACTTGGATTTATATATTTTAAAACGTTTTTTATAATATTTATTTTGTTTTTAAAAGTTATATGAAATTCAACATAAAAAAAAGAAAGAAAGAAGAACCACCATCAAAGAACATCTTGACAATGATACAAAGAGTGTACAAATGATGCATGTGTCTATCAAAATCACTGCAGTGCTAATTGCTTGAGTAATCATGAAATTCTTTTGGTAATATGTAAAGCTTTTCAGAGACAAGTTCAGATCCAGGAATAGGAAATCTCGCAGACATGTACGATTATTTTGACCCCCTTGAATTGGCACTTTTATAACTGGAATATACCAACAAAAACCAGGAACAGAGCAAATTAGGAAGTCCTCTGGCAGCTAAAATACTAGCAATGTCACTAACACTTGATACAACTTTCCAATAGAAATCTTTATCTCCAAAAATCGTTGAAAATGCATGAACACAACCAACAGCCTCACACCAATTAAAACTATTGGACAAATCTGCTTTTATGCATGTATGGAAAGGAATAAAAACCCCTTTGGATTCTTGTCAAAATTAAGACGTATTAGTATTCTAGGATTAAAACATGTTCCAGCTTCATAAATAACTTTGGAGTAGTCTAAATGTATAAATTGGTTAATGTCATTGAGGTATTTAAAAGAAAAAAATTCCTTTGTTTTTGTAGGTATCTGCTTGAAAAGTCATGGCTCAGATTGAGTGGCCTTGGCAATATGGATTTCCTCCATTTTTTACAATTCAGCCAAATGCGGAGACTTGTGCTAGACAAATAGCAGCGTGGCGTGCTCTGATTCTGGAGTATCATGCAGTGCAGAAGCAAGGTGTATTGGATGTTCGTGAAGCACAGAGGAGTCCACTGTTTAATAATTCAGCAATAAACAGAACACTGCCTCAAGAGGGAATTGTTAAAATACTGGAGGATTTAGCAAGAACTGGCAATGCTGAACCTCAGGATAAAACCAAAACACGATGGTTTATCTATTGGCATACATTGGATGAATGGGGGGAAATAATTTATGCATGGGCCCAAAACAATGGATTTATGAATACTGTATGTACTTTATATGAATTAACTGCAGGAGATAACACAGCTGAAGAAGAGTTTTATGGTTTAGACTCTGAAATACTAATTAAAGCTTTGCGAACTCTTGAACAGAAGAAAAAAGCAGAATTAATTTTCTTTGATGATAATCAAGGCGTGAAATTTTTCTAAGTGATTTTGCTTTTATAAAGTGGTGAACATATATTACTAGATTGGCGGAGTTGTTGGGATGAAATATATGTGAAAATGTACATTATTATTCTTAACTAATATATTGTATCAATGTAAGTTGTTGTAAAAACACTTTACCTCTTTTATATTTTTTGATTTTTTTATAATTTTTATATATGTTCCCTTCTCTTTTTAGCACGAGCTTATTTCAAGTTTTGCTTGACTTGCTTCCTGGCTGGCATTTATTGGTTCTAGAAGGCCCTGCAAGGGTCTCTCGCTATCACTATCACTCCTCTTGAGTACCTTTCCCAGGGACCTTCGTTCCATCAACCCTTTCCATTATAATATTTGGCACATGGTGAAAGGAGCTTAAGTCAAAAATATTACTTCTAGGAAAGAAAAATGAAAATTCAAAATCTAAAAACTCAAAATTTTTATTATTTTTAAAGGTAATAATACACTACTACATTTTTAATGCACTTAATTGATGGCCCAATTTTTCATTGTCTTTTATGTTTCCTTGTTGCCCTTTTCATCCCTAAATAACTTAGGTTCCACAATATGACTGGGTAAACTCTTTAACTTGTTTTAAATTTAAAATATGTCTTAAATTTATTTAGCCAAAATTACAAAATTCTCACATGGTGATATGAATGTCATAGAAAATTGAACAAAAAGGCAAATAAATTTAGTTATACCAGGGCACACTCTGGAAAAACTCTAAAAGTCACGGAATTTCATTAATCTGGAAAAGTCTGGAAATTTTGTTAAAAATGAGGGTTTTTTGATTATTTTTACTATATTTTTTTCTTTATAGAATTTTTCTATATATAATTTTTCTATATATAATTTTTCTATATGGATTTCATTTTTCACTACAGAAGGTAACAACTCAAAAAAAGTAAAAATTTATTAAAGTGTTTGCTACTATTTGTGTTTTCTGTATCCCCAAGTGGTCCCTAAAATTTTACACTGCAGCATTTGTTGTTGAAATAGTAAATATGATCTTTTGAAGTATTTTCGGTGCAGAAAATTCGTAAGTCATAAAGTGATGTCAACTATAGTTTGGAGTACTGCAGAATTTTCTTGCATTTACTGTACAAATATTTTTCTTTATGGTCAGGTGTGATGTGTACTATGCATTGTTTTATAAGTTTGTGTTTTAGGTTTCAAACAACAAATTAATAATTTGGTTGTGTGAAAAAAAATATGTATCATGTATAAAATTAATATTCTTTTAATTTAAAATTAACTTTAAATATATTTTCTAGTCAATTAGTACGTAGTAATGATGTTTTCAAATGTATTTTAAATTACCCTTCGTTAAAATTCTACAGAAATAGACATAGTTGAGAAATGTAAACGTGATCTATTGTAATTCTCTGGATATTTGCTTATTTAATCATTCTGGGCACAAAAATAAATGGTAATTATTGTATATTATCATAACACGTCCTTCCTACCTGTCTGTTTGCCACCAGGTTCAGTGCTGCTGAAATGTAGGAGCGATGGTAGTGCATGCTTTCATTTCTTTCTACTAAAGGACTGAAAAATAATGCAATTTTCAACTTAATTTAATCATACACAATGCCCTAAGTTAAGCACTGTACATTCATAAATACACGTCTTTGCTTCTTGCGATGTTAACAAACATTCTATTAGAGTTCATCGCCTTTTTTATTGTATCAAGAGAGCCGAGTACCTGCCCGGGTAGACGAACAGTAGTTGAGGGTGGCGGCAGCTGCTTATAAGTAGCGTCGTGAACACCACGTCGGAGTCTATTCTCCCTCCCTCTATTCACGAGGCACAGCAGATGATCGGAGAGTAGCGAGGGGCGTAACGCGTTTGTTTAACTTTCCGCCGCCAATTTTACAAACTCAATAAAAACAATAACATGGAACTACGCATTTTATGGACGGAGTTCCCTGCGTTTACTCTACAATTCGGTCACTCGACAAGTTCATAGACGTACAAGTCCGAGTCAGAAGCGCCCACGAGCATCTCTGCCCGGAGCCTATGTCGCCCAGTCTTTACTCTTCCGGCTCGTCCTTTTCGAGTCGAACTTGCGTCCTCTCGTCCCGTCCAACTCTTGCCGTATTCTACCGCGCGCCCGCCCCAACCCTTCTCGGTTTACCACCTCGCTTCGAAGCAACTAACCATGGTGTCCCCTTCCTCTCCTTTCTGGAGAACGCAGTGGTATGACGCCCTGGTTTCAAATTCTCGCTCAATAAGCTGCTCGTTTTATTTTCTAGCCGGTGACCCAAAAATTGTGTTGAAGTTCTCCACAAAAATTGAGGCAGCGAGTGCAAGTACATCATAAACCTGCCCAATGGTCGGGGTGAGATCTTCGGCCACCGCCGTGCGTTTCTAGCGCTTGGGAGCGGTTCCCCTGGCGATGGGGTGAAAGTGGCTGCCTTAGCAAGGCGCACAGTTCCTGGTAATGGGTGAGGAGGGCGCAAAATAGAATACCCTGGGCGGCGCGGCGGTCAAACGTCAATGGCCTATGATCGACATCAACAAATAATGTGATCGAGAAGGGCGGTTTGCTACAGTATATGCTACATTTACCCGAATTAAGACGAGGGTTTTTTCCTAAATATGTAATTCGTAAAATAGAGTGTCGGTTTTTTCACAAATTAAGCCAAAGTGTTTGGATTGTACCTTTTTATATTACATTTTCATGCGAAGAAGCTCGAACGCTGATGTAACGATAAACTGAGAAGACGATAAAAACGTCGCATATTTGTTATTCTTGTGTTATTGATAGCCGAAGCATTCTCGCCCCCATTGCTTTATGCCGTGCGAAATTTTTGAATGGGCTAGTAGAGAGTCACTTAACGATTTGCATTGTAATTAAATCGCAATGTGAAAATACTCAAATTTTATTACCCTGTGCGCGAAAAGGGCCGAGGATCTACGTGGCTGTGCTGACTCGCGGTTTAATGATTGTGAGTGCGAATCTGCGGTTTGCGAAGGACGAAATAAAAAAAAAGCTCATTTATGGACGGACATTCCACGTTCAACTATTTAACGGAATTATTAAAAAATAAGCAGTAGCAAAACAATTGAAAACATTACTCTTCCCCGCGCAGCCCACGGTTTCTAAAGGTTTGCGGCTCACTAATCAATCACGCGAATTTAAAGTAAATTGTTGGTTAAGAAGCAAAGGGGAAATGCCGAAAGGAAGAAAATGTTAAGAGATGGCGACAGATGAAAGACGTAAGAAATGCATTCAACACGCAAAAGTTTCGTGGAGCGGGTGCTAAAAATTGAGGATGACGTAGTAGGTTGAAGGAGGACCAGAAATAAAGAATGATAATATTAAGATGATAGTGACGAAAACAATGATAATTTGAAGGAGCAAGAAAATAGTGATAGCTCGGGTAGAAAAAATAATTTTCTCAACAGGATAATTTGCGATATTATGTTGAATGAATTAGTTAAAAATGAAAACCTCAAAGGGTTTCTTTCAAAATTATAGGGGCCGTCTTCTATTCAGGAAAAATTAATACTTATTTTATCGTTTTTTTTTTGGATCAGAATGAGATCAAAATCATTCCTGATAATGTATTTTGAAGATAAAAATTAAACATTTTTTGATTTTCCCTCAAAACTGTAGTCCGTGTTGGAACAAAAAATATTGGAATCATCTCAACACATACCAGTCGGCTGGTACATGTTACACTGGAAAAGGATATAAAATGTCTTCGGTTATGAGTTATGTACCCGGCACTAGTTAACTCCCCCTTCCCCCAGTTATCGACCTAGACTCTGTGCTGATTTCAGAAGACCTGCAATTTATTTTTTCCCGTCGAGGCGCGTCGGCCCACGTCATGCGTGGCGGTGTGTGTGCAGAGAGACCTCTTATGTTCCATTCTCCATCTTCCAATCCTTTCATGCCACCCATTCTCGTCTTCACTTGCCTTTTCTGTATGCTGACCGACCATCCACGTGTTTGCAGTGCTTGGCCATCCGTTTCAAAGGGAGTAGGGGAGAGGTCGAGAGGTCTGTGCGTGCATCCTCGTACGAGATGCGTCAAGCTGGAACAGCCATGTTAGCACACCAAAATGAAACATGAACAATTATTTATTGGTCATTAATTGCTAAATTTGGAATTAATTGACACGTATTTTCGTGGCGAAAACTGGCGTGTGCTGGGTGTCAGCACACACAATTTAAATTCAGGTCATAGCGCGACGGAAACCCTCAAATGATTTATTGCTAATTAATTGACACGTATTTTCGTGAAATCGGGTGTGAGTGGGCTTACCGCGTCAAACCGGCACAAGTTATTATAAGTTATTTTCGAGTTGTAGTTTGACGTAAATCCTCAAGCGATTTATTGCTAATTAATTACCACAATTTGGAATTAAATGCCACTTATTGACACGTCTGTCAGCGTCTGGCCTGACACGTCAAGTTAGCACACACACACAAGTTAAATTCTGATCGTAAATAACTTATTTATGTGCGTCAAGCCAGCTCACACCCGTGTTTGCCACGAAAATACGTGGCAATTAATTCCAAATTGTGGCAATTAAATAGCAAATCATCTGACATGTTTCATTCCTGTGTGCTGACAGGGTTGTTTCAGCTTGACACACCTCGCATGGGCGCTGGAAACTCGGAGGGGGGGGACTTTGACTAACTCTGTTGAATAATGTCACACAAATAGTACTTTTGCAATTATCAAAAACTCGTAGGAGAACGTGAACGCCATATTTTTAAGTACTCCCCCCCTCTACTCTCACGAGAAATCTGAAGGAAAGAATTGAAGACATTTTGAAGAAAAGTTTTAAGTGCCCCTCAACAATTAAAGATTTGTTTGAAATTCATAGGGCTTTTGAGTCGGTTCAGATCGTTTTCTGTGTATTCATTTGAAAAAAACAAACAAAAGACAAAACATATGTGTTTTAGACCACTGTTACGTAGATGCAGATGGATGGACGGTTTTGTTTTGTCCGAAGGCAATTTTCCGGTATCAAGGATTAAAAGCAAACGTGGATTCTGATTGTATTACGTATTAGAGAAAATGTTTCACTACGCAAAGACACTTGGAACCAGAGACAAATCTTGGGAGGGGAAACTAAATATGTTTTGGTCGAATGTGCCATATTACAGATTCTGTAAAATGTCGCAGGCTACACTCTGCTCATGCTGCGATACGATTTTATTCGTTTTAATGATTATCCGAAAATATGTTTGTTTGAAAGTTTCGTGACAAGTTAAAATTTAGTTTCTGAAGCATTTTAGAGGGGGGATTTCCCTCCCCGTGGATCCGCCCCTGTACAGTTCAAACGTCTAACCATTGAACAATTTCCTGTCATTCTCAAATATTTCACCTGCAAACATAAGTTTATTTTCCAAATGTATGCAGTAATATAAATAACACACTAAAAATGACAGCTTTCACACTGATTAAGTGGTCATTTACATGCATTGCGTGAACATTGAACAAATACAGCATCATAATATGTAAGAGCCACTAAACGTTTGTGTATTTTTAAGGCTTTATTTGTGTAAAAGCCAAGCCAGGTTTAAGGATGTAAAAGTTAAGGTCAGATAATACGTAGCTCATCAAATCAACTGTTTACGTCTGCCACCAAGGCTATAAAATTATATGACTCGATTGTATGGCAAGAAATGGCATCAAATGTTCATTAACACTTGGCAAGCAGAAGAGATTGAAAATACTTTTATTAAAAAAATGTTATCATTAAAACCATTAATAACAAGTAATATTTTAAACAGCCTTGTATATTGAAATTCAACCATCAAAATTTGAATTCAGCACAGCAAGCTGCAGACATTAAAAAAAATGATGACAAAAAGTGTGATAAAGTT